AGCCCTGTAGTTGCACAGATTGTTTTGACGCAGTCAAAATGAGTACAGATACAATCTAGTTCAACAGATTCAATGTAGTTCAACAACACAAGCAGGGATCATTGGACTAAGAAAATCAAAGAAGGAGTCAGCTGGCCAAAAATGAATAGGTTTGGGGAGAATTGTGAGGAGAAAATTAGATTAGAGGAATGTGGGGAAGGAAAAGGAAAGAGGGAACATAACAAAACCTAAATTCAAAGAGAGAAAAAGGATAGAAGGAAAGAAAACAATATATAAAGAAAGGGGCAAAATGAAAAATAAAAAAAATTTAAAATGATCCCTTAAAAATTATGTAAATATAAAGAAATAATGCTACAACTAAAGGAGCTAAGGCTGAGAGTTTATGACTTGAATGATCGATATCTGAACTAAGTATACACACAATGAAGGATCAGGTCTAATAATAGAAGACGGGTATTATCTGGGGATGAACAGAACAGCAATTAAGTAAAGCCAAAAAACAAAAAGGACTGAAAGGGAAAAGAGTAAAAAAAAAATTTAAACAAACAAAACTAAAAATGATGAAAAAATTGAAGTTTAAAAAAAATTTTAAAGAATAGGTACAAGGGGGGGGGGGCAAGGGCAGGATGGGTTGGGAAGGGGAAACAAAGGAGGAGGCTACAATGCTGATAAGAAATGTACTCATTATCTTTCCCATGTAATTGTAACCCTTCTGTACAGTATTTTCACAATTAAAAAAAAAGAAAGAAAATGTGAAAATCTGAAACAAAAAAAATACATATCTGTTTGTTGGTGTTAATGTTCTTTGGCAAAATACAGAATTTTAAGTGAGAAAAAAAGAATAGGTACAAAAAAAAGTTCTTAGGTATTTTTTGCAGGAGAAGGGGGACCTTGTGTGTCCCCTGTATCCATAACCAGTCTATTGGTGGAATCTCTGGTTTGCTTGTTTGGTTTTCCTCTGGTTTGATTTGTGTCTTAAATCAGTTTGTTTTGAACAGGCAGAAAGACACTCTGCCTTACCAGGACTTTATGACCCTCCAAGGATAGTTCAATGAGAGGACAATCTGCTTTGAGTATCACATGGCTGTTTCCTCTAGTTTGGAGTTGTGATGAGGCTAGGTTGTGAGTAGGATTGAGGCCTGTCAGCACTCAGCAGCTTTTCCCTGAGGGGCTAGCGCCTGAGATACTCGCAGAGCCCAGCCTGGAGCCATTCTCAGGGTTTATGTTTACTGAATTTTGTTGGTCTAGGCTGCTATAGGGAGGGGCAGTCTCTGGCTCTGTTTACCCAGTGAAGAAAGTCACTCATCCCTGGGAAGAGATTTCTCTACTTTGAAAGGGCAACTTTCTCCGAGGGTGGAGTTGAACCCCTCAGGTCAAGTTCTTTTGACCTATTGAATGGCTCCTATTGTCTTCTTCCAAGGCCTGAGTTATGTGCTAGCTGCTCTGGTCTGGTCTTTGTCAGTATCAAAGATGGAGTTCTTTTCAGGTGGTGGGGGATGGGCTAACTTCCCACCTCTGCTCTATGAGAAGGAATGAGGATGTCTTATGGAGTACTCATGCCTTTCCCTTGGTTTCTAGGTCGTCCATGGTCTGCGACTGTGGTCAGCAGGATAAAGATTTCCGCTCCTTGTCAGTTCTTATTGGAGGTGAGTAGAATCCGCTCACACACTGCTTCTAGCACCTTTGTCCCAGGCTCTCTATGTTGATATGCGAGCAACAGTAGCACTCATCACCACGGCAAATACCAGTGAGTGCTCAAATCTGTCTCCTTAACCAAGCTGTCTGAATTTTTCCCCTCTGGTCAAATTCTCTGTACTATGATGGCACACTTGGTGTGACTCTCTAGCCTTGGAATTTTCACTGGAACATGAGAGTTTGTTTAGCCCCAGCTTCTCCTCCACCATCTTCCTCCAGACTCACTCTTTAAAATGTCTATAAGAAAATATTCTCAAAAAATTCTATCACAAATTTTGCATTGAAAGATAATCTATATTTGTTAGCTAGGAAAATGAAAATGTATTTGTTTAAAACTAACAAAACTCATGACAAAGGAAAAGATGATTCAATTACACTACAAGAATTTATGACGTTTTGGTATAAAATATTTCCCTTTTTATTTCTTCTTCAGAGATTTTCATTGCTAAATCTCCAAAATACTAACCTTGTGATGATTTTTTAAATCCTATAAGGACAATCTTTAGGGCTATTGATAATAATACCTAACATTTCAAAGCACTTTATGATTAACATACCCTTTTAATATAGATTGCCTCATTCAATTATCACATCACTCTCAAGGAATTAATAGTGTATGGATAATTAATAAGTTAGTTAAAAATAGTAGCACGTGTTAATAAATGGTAGAACACTGAAACTGTATATTTCAAGTTCAGTGTTCTATCCAATGCAATTTTTGTCAGATAAATATTAACTTTAAAGTTATTTAATTTCTTTGATTTTCTAATTATATTATTAAATGCTACCAGTCTAATCAAGGTCAATAGGTCATGCCTATAACCTCTTTTGCTATTAAATATTAATTTAAAGACATTTTACAGCTACATTTATCTTGCCTTAGCCTAATAATAAAAAGGCAAACTTCAGTCAAAATCCACAAAGAAGAATCTCATTTATGTCACAAACTACTGTCAAGAAAAATATTCTCATTAAGTCAATCGACAATCTTGAGTGAAGAAATATAATTTGTGGCAGGCTTGTAGTATCATTGATTTAGTTTGGTGAAATTATTATAAAACATCAAATGCCAGTGGAACATACTTTTCCAAAAAGTGCTCTGAAAGCACATCATGCTTACTATTCACTCACCAAAATAAATATTAATCACCTGCTTGTAAGAAGCAGGAGGGTTTCTTTCAAAGCAGATTTAAAGCAAATAAATATTCTCTCTAACTTGTTATATTTTAAGTTATATTGAATAACTGAGTTGAAATATAACCAATAGGCAACTGAAATTAAAGTTATAATTTGATATAGTAACAAGCACACACACACACAAAGAATTTCATTTACATGGTATTTGTTTTAACTATGATTTTACTTAACCTTAAAGTATTAATTTGCATAAGTAACACTTAATTTAATTTTGACATTTTCATAGTATAATAAATACCCAGAAAGCAGGAATGATTACTGTTAAAGCTCATTGCATAAAATGTCCAATTCTGCATTTATTTAAAAATATAGTAAGCTCATGTAATAATTCAAAGGCTGAAGAACTAAAAGAGCACACTAGGAAATGCTGTGAAAAATACACTTTATGAAGTTCCAAATGCATACATTACATATGAGTTCAAAGTCACAGTAAGCACCAACAAAAAGAGTAAAAAATAATTCTCATAAAAAGAACCAATAATAGAGAAAACAATTATAATAATGTATTCTTGTGGATCATCATACAGTTCTATGAAAAAGATAGAATTCTAAATAGTACAACCACAAAGATAATATGAAAATGGTATGCCTAGAAAGTTAACATTTTAAAAGTAAAAGGTTATTTAAAATATTTCTACCAGTTTGCAATGCAGAGTACTTTCTTTGTATTAAGATTTTGCATGCATCTTAAAATTATTATTTTCCTATACAGTATCCTTCTTCATCTAATTTTTGCATTAATATATTTATTTAAAAGAAAGCTACCCCATTAAATATGTTTGACTAGAATGAATGGAGAATTAAAGCATCCACTCTCCTCTCTAAATAGCAGATTTTTCCATGCAAAATGGTCTCCCAACAAGAAACATTCACATGTTTCTTTGCCAGAAAACCCTCTAAAATTGTTCACTAAAACTCTTTTATTTTCTATTTATTTTAAAAAGAAAGATATGGAAAAAATTTGGCTTCTAAATTTTTCTTGTGTATAAGTTCATGCCAAGAAATTACAAAGCAAGGGTTTCCTTCCAAGAATTTTTTTTGAAGTTTTTAGACTAAAAGTTTTGTTTATAAAAATATCTTTATATTAAGCTACAAAAGATGATGTAAGACATTACTGGAATTTTAAATTACATTTAAATAAATCTATCTATATATATATATATATTTAAGAAAATGTTTAAATAGGGATACAGGTGGACCCATTGCAACAATGAGATGTACAAGTCATAATGTTAAAAAACACTCTTTACTACTTTGGCTGGGCGGGGTAGGAGGGGGCTGGGTGGGGGATGTAGCTGGGAAGGAATGAGAAGGGGAAACAAAGGAGAAGGCAGCAATGCTTGATAAGAAATGTACTCATAACTTTGCCCGTGTAATTGTAACCCCTCTGTAAGGTATTTTCACAATAAAAATTTTTTTAAAAATAAAGAAAATAAAAAAGACATTCAATGTGGTGAGACATGATATTTATATTATTTTTCTTGCTTCTTTAATAGACTACTTTCTAGAGTAGTTTTAAGTTCTCATAAAATTTAATTGGAACATCTTGATATAGACTTCATTATCTCCTGTAATCATAAGTATACAATCTTTCCTATCTATGAACAGTCTCTACTAACCAGTACAATAGTGGGAACTGATAAATCTATGTGAACATATCATTATCACCCATGTCTATAGTTAACATTATTGCTTTTAAAGAATTTTCAAATTCTAAATTGTTCTAGTAAAATGTTATCTTCTTCCTTCTACTCTTTATATTAATTTTATTAATTCAGAAATTAGCTTATCTTCCTAAGACTATGACTCACAAAACATCAAAAGATTGAGAAATAGCATAGGGAAGTTAGGGTTACCTAATAAATTAACCATCTGCCACACAATGCCCTGTCCTGAATTCTGTTGCTAAGTTTCAAATGTGAGAGTTCTAGTTATCAAAGAAATTAATTTGCTGGTGAAGCCTTTCTCACTTTTACAACAGAACTTAGATGTAATTCTGCTTTCTAGCATGACAGTTCTCACTCATTACACATATTAGCTTCATTCAACTCTTCTTTTGTATGAAGGCCAAAGGAAAGAGGTAGAAAAATATTTAAAAACTAACATACTCAGCTGCTTGTTTGAAGTGCTTCAAATCCTTCTTCAAATTTCTGTTCTCAGTCTCTAAAAGCATAATCTGGTTATAGACATCTGGAACATTCCCATTGGCTGGAAGGTCAGTTACTTTCTTCTGTAGTAACTCATACCTAGGATAAGATCAAATGGTTTATATCATTTCTTCTTACTAAATTCAGAAACAATTCAAAATGTTAAGTCTCAGAAAAATCTGGTAGCAATCAGTTGCTGTATTTATAAATTAAAGGGTCAATATTAGGATATTAAAATGAAATAGTAAAAAAAATCTAGGTACTAATACCCTCATAGTGTATACAATATGGCTGGAAATCTCATATGTCACCAATCCAAAACTGGTAACCTTCATAAACGTCTTGCAACTCCTGTCTCATGAAGTTGCCAGTCTAGTGAGAGTGGTAAGTTTGCTATAGAAAAATGAAATGAGAAGACACAAATGGAAAGTTATTGGTAGGAGTGTTTGTAATATTTATAGACTATAGTCATGACTAGCAAGCATGGATGACAAAGTTATATTTATGCAGAAACTTGAAAGAAATGAATGTATGATATCATGTGGATTTTCAGAAGAGGAATAGCCAGGGTTGATAGAAAAAGAAATGCAAAAGGCTCTGAGACAAGGAAGTGCTTAGTATCTACAAGAAGAGCAAAATGCCAGTACACCTAGCTTCATTGGAGCTAGATCCAATTAACAGAGCAACAGAGATGCTGTGAGAGGAGCCAGAAAGGAAGCAGGGAACCAGAATAAGAAAAGCAAATTTTACTCTGAATGAGGTTGGGACACAGAAAAAGTTTGACACAAGGGACATGAATCATACTTATGCTTTGAAAAGGCTAGTCTCTTTGAAGAAACAGATTTTAGAGGAGTAAGTGTTGAATCAGAAAGAATTGTCAGGCTACTACAACAATCTGAAAGATACAGAGAGAGGGAGAGAGAGATATTTGTTAGAACAAAATGATCAGTAGTGGAAGTTATAAGAAATGGGTACTGTCTGGACGTGCAGTATAGGTTGAGCTAACAGGATTTTCTAACGAAATTACTGTCTCATGTTTCATCAAAAGAAGGGAAGTTATAGCCATAGTTGAGTCATAGCCATTTACAAAGTGGACAAAAAAGAAGTAGGAACTGGCTGGTTGGAAAAAAAAAAGAATAATGTCCATTCAAATTAAAGTTTATACAGCTAGCAGACTTTCAAATGAACAGAATAATATTACAGATAGGCAATTCAAATTTGAGTATCATCAATAAATAGACACTAGTTATGAGACAAGAGGAGACTAGATAGGCATGAACCTATCAAGAAAAATGAAGACTGAGCAACAAAGTTATCCATTATTGATGAGGGGGTTGGACAATAGTAAGTACTACTAAAGGAAACTAAGAAAGAGAGTTCATGAAGTATGGGAAGAATATAAGAAAGCTGTGGCCCATGGGTGAAGTAAAGAAAGTGTTTCAAGAAATAAGAAATAAGGAACTATGACAATGTGCCAGAGGTTGGAAAACCTTGAGTATCAGGGTTTGGCTATATAAATATGTAAAAGTTACTGAACAAAAAACTTCACTAGAATAATGGGAATGAGAGTGAAGTTACAGTAGAAATGAGAGAATAAGGAACAAAAAAGTGGCAGAAAGAACTTCTCAAGAAAATGTGCCAATAAAGCAGACAGTAGAAAATCAAGATGCACTTAAAATAGCACGTGGAATCCATCATATTTTTTTCCTTTGCTTTAATAAGAGAAACATTATTGTACTTAGTATATGTGTATGGAAATGATCCAGACTCTGAATTCAGACCCCAGAACCAAAAAGTTTTTAAAAGGTAAAAAGAAGTAAATTTCTGAGCGATAAGCCAAAAGCCTTGTCTCTTAAAATATTTTAAAATCCTTTTTAGACTTTAACTTATCTACCAGCTTACCTAGTGTATAAATCTATGTAGTTATCTTTGCCATCCTCAACTTTAGTATATTGTAATGCTGAGTTCCCTTGATAGCTGAGTCACAACATTCCTGTATTTCATTTAATTCCAATTGGACAGAAAGGAAAACCCTTGTATAGTATATGACCAAGCACCAGATCCTCATCAATTGAAGAGACAGTGATTGAATAGGAAGCAAAATGTGAAAGAGAAAAACACTTTTTAAAATGCAAGTTTCAAAGGGAAGAAGAATTAAAGAAAGAAAATAGTAATAATAAGAAAAGGTAAAGAACAAGAATTGACATTTCATATGAGTAAACAGTGAACATGTTAATGGCCCAGGGAACACCACCCAATATAGTCAAGGAAGAAGATTAGTGACACACGGGTATATTAAGATACTGAAAGAACACTGTCATATTATCACCATTCTAAGACTCTCCTTAATTTTGTTCCCCAGGACAAATCACTATTGTCCATGAGTACTACTTAAGTAGTCATAAGGGCACTGAGCAAACCCACAGTGAAAACTTTTCAGTGGTTCAAAGAACAAAATCCTACTATACTCACCTGTATATAATATAGAAAGCAGGCCATGGCAATATTTTTTTGGAAAATAGGTATTTTAGAACACTTTGTAGGACATATAATCCTTCTCATTAACTTTACTTTTAAAGCATAAAAACAGTCATAGACATTACTTTAAAAAAAAATCTATGGCTGTATTCCAATACTGAGTTGGACTAGGTTTGGGGAACAGCCAATAGATCCAGGGGAGCCCGAACATATAGAGCTTGCTAGTTAACATAAGGCCCTGAGTTAAAACTCCAGTAGTACCAAAAAATGATATATAGAGTGTGTATGTGTGTTTGTGTGTGTGTGTGTGTGTGTGTGTGTGTATTTAGGTTTTGTCATTTCATACTAATACTAACCTAGCATATAGGTAAGTATTACATGTATTAACTCATTCTTTAAAAAAAAAAAAAGGTAATTGAACCAGATTACTTTTACTCCTCATTAATTAGCTGCAAATGAAACGGCGCTTTACTCTTACAAAAATGTATTGCCTAATATATTTACGATTTTTTCTTTAAGATTACTGTTAAAAAATAACTGTTAAATCATGCACAGAATTCTAGATTTTTAAAAAGCAGTATTATTTTACTATCACCAAACTTTCTCCTTTTTAAATAATTACAACTGCCTATCTGCATTAAATTTACTAATTTAGATATGCAATTAAAACAATGAAACTGAGTCTTCCTATGTACATATTTTCCATAGAGGATAGCAGATCAAAGGAAAAATAATATATTAGTAAATATTACAAATTTCTATATTTTAAATTAACATAGTCCAAAACACAATAAATATTTTATATATTAATCCGGTTTGTATGGTATGCAGTGGCTATTAAACTCATACCTTTCATATCCATCATTTAATATTCCGTTAGGGATATTAGGAATAAAAAACATGCCTGTTGACTTTATCATCATGACTATAACTTTTGTAATCCATGTCATTTAATTATATAAATCAATTAAATAAATAAAATATTGATTTTAGGCAATATCTGAAAATATATTTCTACTTCTAAATGAAATACTATTTGTAGAAAAAGAGCCAACTATAATAAATAAGTAGGAAAAACATTTACACTATAAAGCAAAACAGCAGCAACAGCAGCAGCAGCAGCAGTAGTATTAGTATACCTTAATTCAGGTAAAAATACTTAAGTAAAAAAAGAAAGAAAGTATTTAGAAAATCATTTTGTTACCTCTAGAAGATATTCCATTTTCTTAATTACTTAAAGATCAATTGAACCTGATTGTTTAATAAAATTGGTTTAAAAAATAAGATAGTTTAATAAAATTGTCTTTGCAGTAATGGGTTGGCTAGATGCTTAGATATGTGTATGTGAATGGTATGGGTTCAGGTTTGGAAATGAGAAAGTTTTCTACCCAGGTGTGTTAGCTACATCATTTCAAAGTCTTTTCAGATTGTTAAAGCGCACATATGAAGGCCTTGGCCTCTATAGACAACTGTTTAACCACATAATTGTTTACCATTCAGACTGAAAGCAATCAAGAGTTCGAGTCATTCCCATTTTGATCAGGAAATTGCAGAGAAAGTCTTCTATTACTTCAGGTATCACAGGCTTTGAAGGAAGAATTGTTTCTTGCTCCTAAAATTTAAATGTACAATTATTCATTTTTCATATCAAACCTCTTTATTAATGGTAGAAGTCTTTCACTCAATTACTCATTGATTAATTTTTCTAATAATTAGCCTTAAATATTATCCACAAAGGACTATTTTAATTAACAGGGATAAAAAGCATTGTTGAAAACAAACAAGTTGTGGTCTTCATACTTGGCAGTCAATGGATGTAGACAGAATTATGAAAAACTAAATAAAATGCATACAGCATGACAGGACTAAGTGCTAGTTGGGCAAAAGGAGAGGCTTGAAGATAGGATCCAAGATCACAGAAGGTATTTGTATAAATTTGCTATACGTATACAGTTATGAAGAAAGATTTCATTGAAAAAGTGGGATATGGGCTATAATCCCAAATACAAAATCCCACATGTGAAAATCTTGAAAGATCAAAATTCAGACTCTAAGAATAAAATAACAATAATAATAATAATGTAAACAATAATAAGAAATAAAGAAAATTCCAAAAATAGTATAATTCTGGAAAAAACATGATATTTAAAATTCCTTATAAGGGCATATATTTACTAAAGATATTTAAGAAACATGTAAAAACGTGAAAGAACACTTCACAGGACACTTTATACAATAAAGCAAGCAATATGACAGATTTTAATGTTCAGTACGTTTTTGTTTTTGTTTTTTGTTTTTGTTTTGCTAGTCCTAGGGCCTGAAATCAGGGCATAGCTACTGTCCCTCAGCTTTTGTGCTCAAGATTACTGCTCTTCTACTTTGCACCAGAGCTCCCACTTCCCATTCAGTCTAATGACTAGCTAGGATTACAGTCATGAACCACTAGTGTTGGTTCAGTATTGTATCTCTCAGAATTATGTTTAACTCTAAATAAAGTGCTATCTCAACACAAGTGCACATCAAAAAGGAAGAGTGACAAGAGCTCTAGATAAGGCTAGAGCATGATCAGATTAAAAAACACTAAGGAGCTCTACTTGCCCTGCTCTTTCACTAGCACATATATACAAAACAAGATTTATTCATATTTAAAAATGCAATAATATGGCTGTATCGATTGTTAGAAACACTGTGGAAGAAGTAATTATTATTCCATGAGGGAAATAAAAATAACTCAGTCAACTCATCACGAGTCAGGGGTAACAGTTCTTATAAATATAGTTTATTAGAACACAACCAGCCCATTTGTTTATATGTTATCCATTATTGCTTTTAGGGTTCATATGAGAATTGACTAGTTGGATAACATCTACAGCACATTATCCAATGTACAAAATAAATCAAATATTGGGGAGCATGATAGTTATTCCTGAGTATCAATTTGACTTGTCTGAGAAGCACTTTGGAGATTAGTAAAGCACATAGCTGATGTATCTGTGAGCATGTTTCCAGAGGTGGTTACATCATCTGAGCTCAGAACAAATGAATGTTTAATCCATTAATGGATTCAAAATTAGAGTAGTCTATTGGGGAGGGAGTCAAATTTGGTAAGATGGGACCAGACTTGCCAAAGTAGGTCATGGAAGCATGTTCTTGGGACTAGGTCTTTCTTTCCCATTTCTGCTAAGACTCCTCCTCTGACTTTTGTCCATTGTGATGTGAGCTGCTCCACTCTGCCCTCCTACCATGGCTGAGTGAAAGCTCTGAAACAATGAGCAAAATAAATCTTAACCCCATTCATGTGTCAGGCATTCTGTCATAGCAACCAAAAGTAACTAAGGCAGGTATTTTCTTTAAAACTTTGAAAGCATCATTGTCTCTCAATAGCACTCATTTTCTTTTCACTGACAAGAATTCACTAATTTATCCACATTTGAAAAAGTAGGCTATCAGAACTAGATAGCAGATTACACAAAAGGCATAAAATGTTTATGTACAGATACATTGAGGAAAGTCAACCTTGATGCTCAAAATAAGTTCTTTCCAAAAAAGTTGTACATAGGGGCTGGGAAGTTGGCTCAGTGGTAGAGTTCTTGCTTCACATGCATGAGGCACTGGATTCGATTCCTTAGCACCACATAAACAGAAAAAAGCCAGAAGTGGCACTGTGGCTCAAGTGGCAGGGTGCTAGCCTTGAGCTGAACAGCTGAGGGACAGCGGCCAGGCCCAGAGTTCAGCCCCCACGACCCACAACAACAACAACAAAAAATGGCGTACATAATTGAACACTGATGACATTGTTAGCATTTATAGCAAATTGAGGGAAACTTTGGAAGCTACAGAAAATCCTGACCAATGTATAAGGTTCTATAGTGATTTAGTTATTTGAGATTGTTTTAGTTATTTTAGATAATATTGGCCAAGACTATATTAGGTGTTATGGAGATGTCAAAAGAGCAGAGGAAAGCATGTTTTTGCAATATAGTACTTACTAACACAGAAAACTATATCTAATCATTAGATAAGAGCATAAATTACAGCTGAATATAAACATTACATAACAAATATACTTTAACCTCATTGGTCAGCAACTTTGAAACATATTTTAGAATAAGATAGATGATAGATGAAAAAATGCAAAAACAGGAAGAGAAGAACAGAGAGATGGGTGGGAGGGTGTATAATTTCACTTTCTAAAGATGCCTATGAGCCATTTAGAGAATATGTTTGGTTGCAGAACTCCAGGTAAGTCTTTGCTGTCTCAAAAATATGTTTTCTGTACATCTCTTCCTGAAAATATCAGAATGGAAATATAATCACCTTAAGCTACTATTAATCTTATTGATACATTACCTTACAGAATCCTATCAATATACTTATTCCTTTATTTATAATTTTGCATTTATATATAGTACATACATTCCCAGCTGTAATGTGATCATAAATGTCTTTTTATCTTAATGTATACATACTCATTACATATTTGGTGAACTTTCTCCATGTGAACAACCCTGTAAATGGTGATAGGTATTAAGTATTAGTAACAGACTGTTATCAGTCTCATCTAAAAGCCAGTGCTTTTGCTCATGTCTGTAATCCTTATACTGAGATCTGAGGACTGAAGCCAGTCAGAGGCAGGAAAAGTCCAAGTAGACTCTTACGTTCAATTAACCACAAAAAACTGGAAGTGGAGCTGTGGCACAAGGGCACACAAAAACTCGAAGTGGAGCTGTGGCACAAGGGCAATGCTAATCTTGAGCAAAAGAGTTAAGAGACTGTCCAGGCACCAAAGTTAAGCCCAAGTACTGGTATGAACACTAAAAAGACTAGTTGAGTACAAACAAAAACAGTTCAATATAGAAGTTCTTCTACTTAGATTCCAAAAAAAAAACTATGCATAACTTACATAGTTAGCATACATACATCTAGTATGTATGCTAATAAATTTATGTAATAAAATAGCATTTTTCTTTCAGTTACATATTATAAACAACTTTATGACTTTGTAACTAAATTGTGAGGTTAATAAAACACTTCAGAGCCTGACGCAATATAATATTCCAAATATTCTATTCACATGGACCCAAAGATCTTCTGGCACAAAGGTGGAGCTATCTCAGAGCAAGGTTTTAAAAAAGAAAGATCTAAAGTGACATTTTAGAAAGAGATCCTCATTTATGTGAGTCATACCAGCCAAAAGTCATCATATTGAGAGAATGTGAAATAATATAACCATTATGAAAATTAGCTAAAAATAGACCTATCTCATGACCCCAATATATAATTACCAGGTATATATCTGAAGGAGTACAAATTATATTTTTAAAAAGATGTCTGGACATCCATGTACTCATGTTTATTACAGCACTATTCAATAAAATAAACATGGAAATTCAAAGTAAGAAAAACACATGGTGGCATCAGCCAAGGTGTCCAAGAGGAGAGGAATGTTTAAAGAATATATAGTATGTATATACCTTTGAATACTATCCAACCATAAAGTAAAATAATATCATGTATAAGAAAATAAGTGGAAATGGAAAACATCATGTTAAGCAAACCATGCTCCAAAAGAAGTATCTCTTTTCACTCTATGTGGAAATTGGATCAGAAAGATGTACCCTCCCTATACAAGTATATGTACCCTCCCTGTACAAGTATATATAAACATATATGCATGCATAAATTTATATATAATATGTATGTGTGTGTGTGTGTGTCCATGTACACCACAAGCACACGGAACATGACTGTATAGGGCTATTTAAGGGATAAGGTAAAAGGGGAAGAGAATAATTTCAAAGTACAGTACAACTATGTATAAAGCTGGCATAAGTAATTTCAATAAAAATTCCTGATCAATATGACATTGAAGAGACAGGCTCTGTTAGGGGAAGGTATACTAGCCAAAAAGGAAAACAACTAAAACATGCGTAATGAAGATGAATACAATCAAAGCACTTTTTTATATGTATGAAAATATAATAAAATCTGTTCAAATTGTTTTAAGAAGCGGGAAGTAGGATAAGGGAAAGTGATGGGCAAGTGAGGATACATTGCATACATGAATTGAAATATCACAATAAAATCCAACCCACACAACTAATATATGGTCATTAAAAGTAAAAACATAATGACCAAAAGTAAGTTCTTAAATTACTTAAAAATTAACTAACCAAGAAGCAGTCCTTTTCTCAATTTCTTAACAAGTAAGTCTATTTTCTTAGCTTTTCTCAAAGAATCACGATATATTTTTCAGTGACCAAGACTGGGCCTAGGACTATGGAACTGAGCTACATACTCAGCTCTACCACGATATTTTATTGTAACCATTAAATATCTTTAATTATTATCAATTATTAGTTATCTTTTATTTGTAATCATTAATTTAGAGTCCTTTCTACTATATTCTCTAACATAAAAGGAAACAAGTTTGTTTATAAAAGATGTAATAAGATTATAACAAAAGAAAACTGCTTTCATAGCAAGATTAATCAAGTGGAGTTCTCAGGGAATGTGTCACTTTTGGGAAATCATACAAGAATGGTTATAATGTCAAAAATGACAATATAAGAAATAAATATGGCAGCTTATTTTAAATGAACACTTGGAGACAAATAGAAGTGAAATGGTCATAGCACACAATTACGTTTCATTTAACATAGAAAAGTACTTTTGCTAAACTAAGGAATGCAATTGTGTTCAAAATTCTTACCAAGATTTGAGTATCTGTATCCCGTTCTTGTACCAGGTGAATTGTTTTTGCCAGATCTTCTTCACCTTCAGGAATGCTAAAATTGTCATCTGGTATCTGGATCAGAGAGAGAGAGAGACAGAGACAGAGACAGAGAGTGAGAGACAGAGAGAGAAACATGGAGAGAACAGAAGTATTAGTATAAATATGAAGTACAATATAGTAGTTCTCACTTAGCCTTGGAGTATACATTTTAACATGTTCATATATATATAGATATATAGATATACACACACACATATAAACTACACTTTTCTATACATATACTTGATACAGTTTAATTTGCAAAGCACAGAAAGATATTGGCAATAAAACAATTATAAAAATATACTACAAGAAAACTTATTTAAAACTTAGGAAGTGCCTTGTTGAACTACAATTGATGATTAGTAACTGAAACCAAACACAGTAGATAGGTACATAGAGACTACTATACTTAATTTTAGAAATATTTTTCTTCACAAACAAAAACATCAAAGAAATTGACTTCATAGCACAAGAAGTTGCATCAATATAAAGATCTCTAGAAAATGAATAACAAAGTTGATTTCTGACTTCCTGGTAAATTGACTCAAGGTCACTTCTAGTGAATTCAAGATTTGTTTATGGACAATTACTTTTATATACAGTGATAAATAGTCTAACAACTCTACTGGTAGGGAAAAATAATGTTATACTGTCTAGATGCCTATCCCAGGTCTCCTCCACTATTACTCATTCTTAACAACCAGCCCCAGTAAATATGTAGTTTATTGTAAACTAACACTCTTTGCCTAAGTGTTAAAATCTTGGAAGAATGAAATTCATGGTAATTATATTGATGAGAGTTTCCATTAGTCACATGATTCTTAGATACTAGCAACTATTTGTCAGGCTTTTACATTTAAATCATTCAGTAACTTTATATATAAAACGTAATTCTTACCAATATCCTGTTTCCTATGTTTGTGTTATCTCTTGTTTGTCTAAAATGTATTGTCAGGCTTTCCTCCACTCAGTGTTACTCACAGTTTCTATTATCCAGAAGTGATTTTATCCTCCAAATCTCAGAAGTAATAATAGGTCTCATAAGGTTTTAAAAAATGTTTTGAGATATGTGTCTTTCTCTTACAAGTATTGGTAGGTTTCATTGGAACAATTAATTCAATTAAAGCGCTGAGATCCAGAAATATAATTGAGCTAGAAATATGCAAGAACTCCAAGCTCCAACTGAGTATGAAGATCTGAGAATCATTAACAAAAAGACAGCTTGGATAATAGGATACTTTTTTTTCCGGGACAGAAATGAAAGTGTATAGCATGTATCCATAAGATAGGTAATAAGAAGATGAATCTCAAAAACCATTAACAGGAAGAAAGAGAGGTAAGAAGTTTTTCCCAGACTAATTGGAATATCCATAATTCACATTTAACCAGTTGATTGCAGCTAACTTAAACTACAAATTAGTGTTTCCTAAGGAAAATAAAATATTTACATGGTTCATAAAATAAATAATTCATGAAGATGACTTTTATGACTATAGAATGAATAAAATTAACAAATTACCTCTTCATACTCAAAATCATCTTCAGATGGCTCAGTTATGGTGATATCTGAATATCTTGTTAAGGTTTAATCTCAAAAATATGGAACAATATCATTTACCTTAAATGGTATCAGATCTAATTATATATGAAATTTGTAAACCATACACTTTTGTTTTTGGTCAGTTATGGGTCTTGAACTCTGGGCCTAGCACTGTCCATGAGCTCTTCAGTTGGAGATGAGTGCTCTACTACTTGAGCCAAAGCATCACTTCCGGTTTCTGGTGGTTAATTAGAGATAAGAGTCTCATGGGTCTGCCCAGGCTGGCTTTGAACCTTGATCCTTAGATCTCAGCCTCCCAAGTTGCTGGGATTATAGGCAAGAGCCACTTGCACTGACTTAAACATACACTTTTTTTAAACTTTGCATTTTCTAGACAGTCTACACATTTATATATAAAATAGTTTAGGATTTTTATTTCTTCAAATTAATGAAAAACCACATTTATACACATCTGACTAATATTTATAGACTTCCAGTTACATCTAGGATAGATACCTATACTAAATTACTATATGTCCATAAGAATATAAATTAGAAAGAGATAAATTTTTAAGGATTATCTATAATAGCAGAGCTTCCGAGTCAGTATTCCCAAACCTAGGAGACTTTATGTGGTAGGACGTATCAGAAAAGACAAAACAGAAGGTACAAGACCTCAAAATAAAAGGTAAAAACATACCTCTATGCTTTCATCAATAAAATTTACTTAAATCTCTTTATATACATTAGCTTTTAATTAAATGATTTGTGCAGGAAATGTTCCTAGTTTTTAACTAAATATAAGCTATATAGCAATCATAATTCAATGTTATATAATAAGTGCTTAAGAAATTAACTATCCACAGCTATTAGAAAAAATAATATTATGTCATTTGCAGGGAAATGGATGGACCTAAAACAAATCATGTTAAATGAGGTAAGCCACCCTAATATGCACAAGTTCTAAAATACAATGGGACATATTAACTTATACAGGACTCTAAGCATTCACACACAGTAAGACCAAAGGAGGATACTCAGGAGAAGAAAAGAAACACATAATGCCTATGTACATCTAATCAAACAAAATATTATTTATTGAAATGAACTACGGGAAATGGAAGCAAAAGATTTTTTCTTTTTTGATATTTTGTTTTGTTTTCATTGTTCTGATTGTTCATTTATATGTCTTTGGGAGTGCAAGGGGAGACAGAACTGGAGAGACAAAAGTTAAAAAAAACATGCAGCAACAGTACTTACCGAACAGTACGTTGAAATGAACTATACAACTTTCGCGTGAAGGCTAAAAGGGAAAAACTGGGAAAGAATGAGGGAATTAATGCACTCTTTATCTTGTCTTATGTTAACTATAACCCTCTGTACATCAACTTTATAATAACAATTAAAAAACTTTTTAAAGAAATAAATTTATTCCAGGAAGTGAAATAAAAAGAAATTAATTATCAATAAAATGATTCTAATAAAAAAGAAATCCAAGAGTACTTCTATAAGACTTTCAAAAATGCAAGCTGTTGTACCAGCAAATAAAAGGTTCAAGGAAACTATTAAAAATAAAAATGAACATTAGATTTTTTCAAGGATTTTTTTTCTAGGATTTGTGGAGGTTGTATCTTTAATATTTTTTTCTGCTTGCATTAAACACTTTTATGTATAGTGACCATTATGTAAAACAAAGATAAGATGAACCTCTTACTTTGTTGTTGAAAATTCTTTCCTTTGTTAGTATTTTTACCTTGCAAGGCTTCACTAAAAGTGTACAGGACAACCTATTTTATTTCAATCAAGAATAAAGAATAGATAATATATAATGTTTAATAGGAACCACATATTATTAGTTTTTCATATACTAAATCATTTGGTCATCATCCTGTATATGGGCTAAAACTATTATTATTATGGGCTAAAACTATTATTGTTTCCATTTTGCAAATCAAGAATCACAGACCCAAGGATCCAGAGTTAGGACCAGAGTGGAATCTACCCCAGCAGTTCAGGCTGTCTCTCCATATTCTGTATGTGATTCCAGTTCTACACAGTTACTTGAATTGTTTGCGAATTATCTCCCACAGATTTATATTCCTCTAAATATATTTTTGTTATCTAGCTTCACTCATCAGAAATAATCACTCTTCACTGTCTTTATCCCTGTCACTTACAGGCAACATTTTAGCCTAGTGTAGTTATGATCACTTCTCAGATAATAGATGTTTGTAAAAAAAAAAAAAAACCAACAGTATTCTATGTTCAAACATCAGTATCTCTCCCAATAATGTGGTGAAAAGTAATTAGGGTCAAAAACAACTCGTTACAAAATAAAAGAACAATAACACAGAATATAGCAATACATCTATTATCTACCACATCGTTTTAATTCATTCACAGTAAGTACTGCAGACAGTAAGCATCTACTTGTATGTGATATCTATTGCTGCAGAACAGTTTCCAATTGCATTTTCCTCACTCTAACAGTCTCTTGTCAGGCAGGATCCCTAGAGAACAGCAGGATTGTAGTAGCAATCTGTTAGGCTGTTTTATCGTTAACACCTAACATAGATTTCCAACATCTGTCCAATTCTACAGTCCAAAGCAATGCTGATACTTTAAAAGATTGCTTATACTAGCATCCCAATATATCAATAATAAATATTTGTTATTTATTGCTCCATAATAAACTGCCCCAAACTTGGCATTTAAGAAACAATAAGCAAATATTTCCATTTTCCAGGACATAGATGAACCTGGAAGTGAAATAAATGAAACACAGAAAATATGATCTCATATATATTTGGAAACCAGAAAACATTCAACTCACAAAAACAGAAAGTGGAGGGTGGTTACCAGGGTAGAGGGGTAAACAAATGAAGAGAAGAAACTGAGAGAGCATCTATTTCCAATGATAAGGAAAGTGAGTTCTGGAGACCAAATATAAACCATGATGACAAGCTAATAATAATATCTCATATAAGTAAAATTTTCTAAGAGTAGAGATTTTAGGTACCTTCCCCACCCCCAAAAAAGGTAATTATGTGAGGTAGACACATTACTTGCTCCAATAGTGGCAACCACTTCACAATGTACTAAATACATCCAAAAAGGAAACAATAAGCATTTATTATTTCATCATTTCTGTGAGTCAAGTATAAGCATTTATTATTTCATCATTTCTGTGAGTCAAGTATTCATTAGCCACTTAGCCAAGTGTGGTAGCACATACCTGTAATCATGAGTAGGCAGAAGGACTGTGAGTTCCACAATCCTATTAAAGATATAGCAAGATCCAATTTTAAAAGTTGGTGGCAGTACAATTCAAGTAGTAGAACATTGCCCAGCATGCACAGAAGACCTTGAGTTCAATTCCCAATAATACAAAAACCAAAGAGTCCATTAGCTGCTTAGCTGGAAGATATTGATTTGGGGTCTATAATGAGGTCATAGGCAAGATGACAGCAAGGTAGCCATAATCTAAAGGCTGAGCTAAAGAGGCAGGATCTACTTCAAAGAAGGCCCACTGACACTACTAGTTTTGGACTGAGGTCCTTGGTTCCTCCTCATGTGGGTCTCTGCACAAGCTGCTTGAGCACCTTCAAGATTTGGTGACTACTGCACATGCAGAACTAGCACTTCAAGAAAAGGAAACCTTCCCATTTCCCTATGAATGAGGTGAAGTCATTCTTTCTGATGGAAGTATAGAACTCCATTATGTATAGATACCACATTTTTCTTGATTTTATTCTTTTCTTGACCCAGTCATCTACTGAGGGGCATCTGGTTTGGTTCTGTATCTTAGCTATGGTAAATAATGCTGCAATGAACATAGTTATGCTGGTAGCTTTAGTGTATGATCTGGTAGCTTTAGAACTGTGTTTTAGCTTTTGGTTAAATACCCAGGAGTGGAACTGCTGGGCCATAAGGGAGCTCTATGTGTAGTCTTTTGAGGAACCTCCACACTGCTGCCAGAGTGGCTGAATCAGTTTACATTCCCACCAACAATGTAGTAGAGTTCCCTTTTGGCCAACTCCCTACTAGTATCTGTTATTTCTTTTCTTGAAAATGGCCATTCTAACTGGGGTGAGGTAGAATCTCAATGTAGTTTTGATTTGCATTTCTTGGTATGGCCAGAGATGTTGAACATTTCTAAGCCAGACCCTAAGAAACGTAGGTTCCATAGTATCATTCATTTGTAATAATTAGTATATGCCTAGGATATCCTATAGACCAATAGCTATGTACATATGACCACATAAAATGATGCTAATCCAAATGATCTCCACAAAATAGAAACATCAGGTTGTTTTTCTTTTCTTTTTTTTTTTTGAGTGTACTGTTGCAGTTTTTTCTTTTGTCTTTCATTTTTATTTTTTTTTCTCCTCTAGTTTATTCCCCATCGTCACTGGTTCTGATTTTTGGTACCCTTTGTCTTGTATATAAGTATATCTGATTTGGGGAAGGGAAGGGGAATCACAGAAATAGTGAGACAAAGGAAAAAGGGGGAACCAATGTGATACTCACTAGACACTATATTGGAAATGAACTTTACAACTTGGGAGGGGGGAGAGTTGGGAAGAGGGAAAGAGAGAGAAAACAAGGGAGGGGTAACACTGCCCAAAAAGAAATGTACTCATTACCTTTACTTATGTAACTGTAATCCTGATGAACATCACCTTTACAATAAAATAAATAAAATATAAATATAAATAAAATAAAATAAAAACTAAAAAATAATGAAACCCGAATTCTTTTATAACAAAGTCTTAGAAATTACACATGACCGTTTTTTCAATACTTAGTATGTGGGGACTATTCAATAGCATAAGTAAGGGGGGATGCAGCTTTGTACTAAGATACTTTCCTAGCATGTATAAAGGCCTGGGCTTAATCCGCAGCATCACTTGGAGCTTGTAGAGCATGATTACCGAGGGGTAGGGAGCACTGGCCATCATGTTCTGGGCTGGCAAGCTACTATATCATCTAGTAGAGGTAATCTAAGCAAAGCATTTAGGGTGGT